TAGATCCTCAAGCTATTTTTAAGAGTTTTGAAGCTTAAATAAGTGTGTGCCTTTGTTCCTTAATTAAGCTGCACAGGCTAATAAAATTTAACTCTTTGTATTTACCTAGAATTAAATCAGTTTAGTGAGATATTAATAATTATCTGAGGTTGTTCAGATATACAAATTGGAAATAATATGTGATAAGTAAGTAAAGTAAAACAAATAACCTTAATAAGTTCAGTTTTCTGTTTTGTTTTGGTTTGGTTTTGATACCAGGAATCGAACTCTGATGCGCTTAACCACTGAACTATATCCCCAGCCCATTTTTTATTTTTTTATTTTGAGACAGGGCCTCACTAAATTGCTGAGGCTGTCTTTGAACTTTCCTCCTGCGTTAGCCTCCCAAGCTGCTGGGATACAGGTGTGCGCCACAGCRCCCAGCTCAAGTTCATTTGCCTTGACAGAGATTGCATTAAAGGAAAAGAAAACAAACAGGGTTTTAAATGAAGAAAAGTTTAACAACCATCATCAACTCCTAAAGAAAAAATATGGGTTGTATTTTAACGTCTATTGATGAGTTTCCAGGTTGGAAAGGTGGGACCTGAAGAATCTAGGGCTGAAGACACCAGGATTGGAGAAACTGACAAGTTGGTAGAACTGGATTCAAAATGACTGGCCAACAGTCCAATGCCAGCGTCAGAAGGGTACAGCCATCTTTGGCCTGGCTCTGGCAAACATTGATACCGAAAGAGTTCACAGCACACAGCACCAAGCAGCAGCATTGGCATGTGCAATAATGGCAATCAGGATGAGTGACAGCATGTCAAATGCTCAGTCTTCTGGGGAGAAAGACCCAAGACTAGGCAAATGACCTAGTGTTCAGGGCTAGCCTCAGCTCCCAGTGGGAACTGGAGCGAAACCCACAGCTGAACCCCAGATAAGTGGAACAAAGCAGCACCATGTCACAAGAGGTAAAATGGGTCCCTGTGTGTCCAGCATGACGCTTATGTTACCACCCAGTCAATGTCACATGCAGTCAGAACCTAGCATCTGCCCACTGCTGAGAGTATGTGGGGAAAAACGGGAAATTATCCAAATCTCAGATTTATCTATTCCTGACTTACAGAGCAAAATCTTTAGTCCTTAATTTAAATTATGCTAAAATAATATGAACTTCACAAATAAAATATTATGATTGTTTTTCAGCAAAATAAAGAAGAGAAAAAGCACAAAATCCCTCAAGTGATGTTTAACAAATAATATTTTTTCATTTGTGCAACAAATATTAAATATTATTTTCACCAAGATATTTTCAGCTCCAAATATATTTAGAAAGTATATACTTAATTCATCATTATTTTAATTACTTTAGTTCATTTATATACTTATATCCCAGAATATAACAATGTAGAATATAAGAGTTACCTTTCAGTTGAATCTTAAATAAGATATTGCTCAGGTTTCAATTTTGGCCTCTGAGATCAGACTCTAAAGATGAATTCACTTTAAATGTGGCAAATTAAAATTTTGATTTTAAAATAAAACAAGTAATTGTGGTGTGTGATTTCAATTATCTCCACATTTTCAAGTTATTTATGCTAATGAAACAAAATCCAGTATGATAAGTGAAATTTTTGTGTCAACATAGTCCACCAAAATACAGCAGGCACCTTTGACAACCTCTGAGGACCACGCATGCGTGCAGATCATTCTCTCTCTCTCTCTCTCTCTCTCTCTCTCTCTCTCTCTCTCTCTCTCTCTCTATTACTCAATTGCTCAAAGTTGCCAGATCAAGAATGAGCAAAGGGCTGCCTTTCTCACATTGCTCTGAAAAACCATTAACAGCTTGATTTATCAGGCCAGGCCAAAAGAATGAAATAATCAAACAATGAACAGTTTCTATTATTTTCTTTTCTGTTACAGTTTATTTTAAATTTCATGTGCAATTTAACCAAACAAAAGTGTGGCATGGAGAGGAATTGTAAATTTCAGAAGGCAATAGTTTTCCTTTACCTGCCTAGTCTACAATAATAATTCTATCTCCTATAATTAATAATTTTCTAAAAAATTACTAGCTTGAAGGCTGACCATGGTCAGAATCACAAAATGATTGCAAAAAAATATTTTACTGAACATTTCTTGAATGTTAAAAACAATATTCTAGAGCTTTTATTCAAGTCTTTTGTCTGGACAAACTGCTTTATTGCGAGAACTCAAGAATGGGAACACAATTGACTTTGTCCCTTGTCCCATTTCCCACACAGAAGGGCCCTGATGCTTTCTGCAGATCTAAGCACACACCATATGTTCCATCCATATAGACCAGGTTAACTCATGGAAGCTCAGAAGTCTTCCAGGGAAGCATTTACTGGGTGCAACCTTAATTAACTAATTATTTAGGGTAGGGTTAGGAGGGGGAGGAAAACCTGGGAATCAAATTTAACCTTGATACGTGAAACCTCAGTATTTGAAACGTTTTACAGATATCAAAAAATAAACGTAACCCAAGGGCACTGTACAAACACAAATTTTATGTTGTGAAATCTTGCATACATAGAAATCAGACGGCAATGTTCATATCATGTTTTTCAGACTGGCTAAACACTCAGTTTATCACTGAGTGCTCCGCTGTGTGCACCATGTGCCCTGTTCCCACCGAATGACACAGATTTCAAAAAATAAGTATGATTAATGAGATAAGTTAAATGACTGATGTAAAAAGTTCCTGCAGCAAGCTCTCCATTTGGTCATTTACACATAGTAAATATTGTAAAACCCTTTAAAGATAATTTTTAAGAGGCCCAGCTACCTCTATAGAATTAGAAGCAGAAAAATTATAACTGGAGTATGTATGTATAGTGTTAATATACACTGACGAATTAGCCACATATATAGGAGAGCTTATAAGAACAGAAATAGTATCAATATTATTGTTAACAATAATAATGTATAATGTATGCATATTATATAACGACAGGATTAATAGTAGGGAAGACCTAGAAAAATATATTTCACTTTACAATGGAGTCAATTAATATAAAGATGAAAATAACAGCTTAGGCCACCTTCCCCTCCCCCAGTCCAATTTTTACTTATTGTTACACATTAACTTCAGAGTCTCTCCAGCAGACAAAATGTACTGTTAAGCTCTGGAAAAATCCAGATAACAATCATTACAGTCAGAAGAAAAGAGTGTGGCACTAGAGAAAAGCCTATCGAAATGACACCTCCTCAGACAGAGATCCTAAGTCATCTTTGTCTTTTCTTTTTTGGTGCATTTTTAGTGGGGGGGAACACAGCGGGTATCTCCACCCCTCATGCCTCTGACTTCAGATGCTCAGGATCTATCTGTAAATTGAGGACACTGGAGCTTCTGAGCTGGAATTCTAGGGCTCCTGTTGTGGAGACTTGGGAGCCTTCTGCTATGGCTGCCCCCTGCTGCTGGGATTTTGAGATGGGAGGCTCAGCTGCTTTGCCCCCATTGCTGGCCCCACTGTGCAGTYCTTCCAGGCCCTTCTAGAGCCTCTGACCACAGACCCCTGCCACATAACCGATTTCATGGCCACCAACTTAGCCTTCTGAGATGATATGCTGCCTGGCCACAGGCTCAACAAGTCCAAAGCTTGAGACTGGAGCCCCTTGAAACCGGCTAAGTCCTGGACACATCCCGACAAAAAAAATTTCTTAAATAACTAAGTGCTTAAGTTGTTTTTCAGAAGAACCTCCAGAATTTACTCAAGGACCTTTGAAGCTGGCTTTTCAAGAATGGACATGCGCAGGCAGAGCCAGCTCATCTGGTCCCAATGACCTTTTCACCACACAAGCTCAAAATCCCTGCGGCAGAACACAGCTCCCCAGTGGAAAAAGAAACGAGCAACCTGTCAAGAGAGACGATGACCCTTTGGCTCCTGTGCAAAAAAGCTTAAAACTTCCCCTTCTCGCCACCCAATCAACAAGCAGCTTTTTCTCCCTCACTTCCTAGGAACACTGACATCCTCTTGGGAAAGACTAAAAAGGGCATGCTGGGTAACAGCCAGATCTAGGTGAGATTCAGGTGTGTTGAGATGGTCATCCTGGTTGATGCTGGGCTCTGGGATGTGAGGCAGTGGTTGTATTAGAGCCCACAGGACAGGTGCACACCTAGATGTCATGAAAGGTGGTTGGGGGGGGGCAATGTAAGCAGTTCTTACCTCTTGAGGAGGCTCTTCCTTTGTAGTTTTCTTTGAAAGCTTCACTTTTTTAGTCCTAACAGGTGATGTACTACGAGCGGCAGCAGAGCGTGGCCTCAAAGGTGTCGTACTCCTGGGTAAAGTCCCAGAATGGGAGGGCCACGGGGACAAAGAGCCTTCTCTTCCCCAGCCTGTTTTCAGGTTCTGACACACAAAAAGAACCAACTTAGTCATTCTCATGTCATTCCTCAGATCTATGCTCTCTTCCCTCCCCTGAGTGGGAAACTCTGAGTTGAAGTTTTCAGTCCCAAAGGGCCTGACTCTGTTCTTGCTCCCAAGGTCTGCCCTGGCCTGGCTCAATTTGCAGGCTGGGTGCAAGTCTCTACCCGTCCCCCCACCCCAACCATGAATCCTAGCATTCCAAGACACACATGCCAACAGACTGATGTGCTTTGGAAGCACCTGGGAAGGCAGGGTCCCTGTGGAGTGGGATGAGGTGATAGCTTGAGATTGTATCAGGGTGGGCTGGAGTAAGGGGAATAGGAGGAAGGAAGGAAGGGCAGGGTGTGGAGCCAGAGGAGCAGCCTACAGACAACACCTTGACCTGGCTGGTTTGCTCCTCGGCTCACTTTCTCTCTCCTCCACCTGTGCTCAACAGTCAGTTCCTTGTTACCTATTCATACCTCTTGCTCTACTTTCAAGCATTTTTCTGTTTTAAACCCCAACATCAAACAGTGGAAAGCCTCAGCACAGTATGCATAGATTCTCTAACCCAGATGCCAAGAGAAGGGAGGCACAGAACAGATGGAGAGAGAGATTGATTGATTAAATACAAATCCTGACACTTACACTATCGTACTTTTTTCTAAGCTCCATGTCTTCTTTCTGTTTATTAATCTGTGAAATGAAAGACCATATTATTTTTTATCGTTTGTGAAAATTACAAAGGAGAATTTTTTAAAATCTTAAGCAACAAAAGAGTAGCACTTAAAACTATTTCACTGTAGAAACTATTATAGAAATCTGAGCTGGGCTGGGGATGTGGCTCAACTGGTAGCGCGCTCGCCTGGAGTGCGTGCGTGCGGCCCGGGTTCGATCCTCAGCACCACATACCAACAAAGATGTTGTGTCTGCCAAGAACTAAAAAATAAATATTAAAAATAAAAAAATTCTCTTCTCTCTCTCTCTCTTTAAAAATAAAAAAAAAGAAATCTGAGCTATATTATTGAATGTGAATTAGAAGAAAAACAAATTTGTATCTGGAATAAAAAGCACCTAAAAATAAGTGAATTATATATATTTAAAGTTGTTAGCATTTATTTATTGCTTTAAGAATAACAGATTATAGGGACACATATTAATTATTTATGAGGTGATAATTTGATACATTATCATAATAGGTATAAATCCAAGGCCTTATTTTAATATTTTGAAAAATTAAGAATTTAATAGTGAATCTTCATAAAATAATAAAATTTTACTTTAAAATTAATTAATGTTAATTTCCAGGCACAAAAGCATTGTATCAGAAAAGTACTACCAATCAATGCTTCAATAATTTTAAGATTTTTTTCATAGCATGGATTTATGAATAATTATTTGAATTATGACTAAACTTATTTGAAATTAAATGATAGAACTAAAAGATGAGAAATACATTTAACGATTAATTTCATTGGTATCTGATTAACAACTATAATGGATATCCAAAAATCTTTCTCATCTTGAACATTGAGCAGAACACAATGAAAAGGTATAACAACTTTCAATCTGGGAGGTTAGTTACTAATGCCTATGAAGAACTGTATTATATGGTCTCAGTGGGTTTGAACTCAAGCCTAATACAGTTAAATTCCATTATGATGGTTTAAAAATAACTTTCTCCAAAATCTTCAAAAAATTATTTGCAAATTGAATCTAGCACTATATAAAAAGTATAAGAGATCATAACAAAGCAGAATTTTGCTTAGGAATACAAAATTGATTTAACATATAAAAACCACAGTATTTTTTCATATTATGGAATAAAAGGAAAAAAAAGCAATCATTTCCATAGCTTAAGAAACAGTCACTTATGATAAAAACTCAAAAAATTAGGGGACTCATAAAACTTGGCAAATGCTTTCCATGAAAAATTTATAGCTAAATCATACTTGATGATGAACTGATAAATTATACTCCCCTAAGATTGAGAACAAGACAAAACACTCATTTTCACCATTGCTATTCAACATTATATTGGAAGTCGTAGTTATTGTAACAAGACACTAAAAAGAAATAAAGCATACAGATCAGAATGAATAAGTAAAATTGTCACTGTTTACAGAAGATCTGATTACTTATATAGAAACTCACAAAGAACCTATGAAATTATTATGATAACTAATAAATTAATCCAGTAAGCCTGTAGGATACAAAGTTAAAATAAAAACAATTGTATTTTTGTATATCCAAGAACCAAACAATTAGAAATAAATTATAAAAACAATTTCAATTACAACAGCATCAAAAATATAAAATACTTAGGAATTTAACAAAAGATATGCAAGCCCTCTACCCTGAAAATGACAGTCCATGGCTAACAAAAATTAAAAGAGAACTAAATGAATATAAAATATTAATGAATATATATAATTTATATATTTATATATAATATATAATTTTATATTTATATATATCATGCTTATGGATTGAATGTCTYAGTCTATAATATATATGTCAATCCCTTCAAATTGAACTATATATCTATGTATTTATTTTAAAATTATTTTTAGTTATAAGTGAACACAATATCTTTATTTTATTTTTTTTTTTGTGGTGCTGAAGACTGAATCCAGTGCCTCACATTTGCAAAGTAAGTGGTCTACCACTGAACCACAATGGCAGCCAGAACTACAGATTTATTATAATCATAATCATGCCAATTCTTTTTTGGTAAAAACAGACAAGCTATTTCTAAAATCTACATAAGAATACAGAGGATCTAGAATTTTTAAGATGATTTTGAAAAAGAACAAAGTTGGAGGAGCTACTGCCCCTGACTTCAATACTCATTATAAAACTCTGTGGTACTAGCATACAGATTGAAAATCATTAGATTTGAATAGAGAACTTAAAAATACACTGTTTAATTTTTAACAAAGATGCCAAAGCCATCAATACAATGGAAGAAAAAGCTTTTCAACAAATAATGTTGGAACAAATGGATAACTTTTCTTGGGGAAAAAATAGAAATTTGACCCTCATACCATACACAAAAATTACTATGAACCATATTGTTAAACAAAAGACTAAAATCATAATAGCTTAAAAATCATAAAGGAATGTCCTCTTGACCTTAGGTTAGACAAAGCTTCTAAATATTTATAAAGGAATATTCATCAAAGAGAATAACAGGTAAATTAGACTTTAAAACAAAAACATTTTGTCATCAAAACACATTGTTAAAAAAATTATCAGAAAAAGCACAGCTGGGAAGAAAATATCTACAAAGCATGTATCTGAGAACAGACTGGATCCAAGAAACAACTTCTGGATTGTATTGTAGTCCCATGCTTAGTTTTTAATAATTGCCAAATGTTTCCCTAGTTATCTACTTTCTCTGTATCCTTGCCAACATTATTACCACTATTTTTTCTCTTTCAACTCAACAATTTCATAGGTGTGTAGTAATATCTTATTGATTTGCATTTCCCTCATTGTTAATATGGTTGAACATCTTTCATGTGTCTCTCCATTAAAACATCTGTTTGTGTCTTTGCCAAGTTTTTAATTGGAATGGTTTGTTTTGATTTTATTTTCCCCTGTTGAGTTTTTGGAGGTTTTTCATAATGTGATATTAGCCCTTTGTTAGAATATGTCTACAAAAATTTTCTCTTCCAAGTCTGCAGCTTATCTTTTCATCTGTTTCACATGTGTTTTTTTTTTTTGTTGTTGTTTTTGTTTTTTGTTTTTTTTCCTTTTGTGGGGATTGAACCTATGGGCACTTCACTAGTAAGCCACAGTCTTTTTTTTTTTTTTTTTAATTTTTAGACAGGGTCTCTTTAAGTGGATGCAGCTGGCCAGGAACTTGTGCTCCTCCTGCCTGAGCCTCTGAGTTGCTGAGATTACAAATGTGTGCCACTGAACCTGGTTCACATGTGCTTTTATGTTGCAAAAGTTTGTAATTTTGATGACGTCTGTTTGGGTCACTTCAAAATTTGTATGTTGATTTAATACCAATACCAATGCAATGATTAGGAAAAGAAGTTTTAGAACTAAAATGGTCTAGATTAGGTCATGAAGGTAGGAGCCTCATCATGGGATTAGTGCCTGTTTAAGAGGAGGACAGGTGTCTCTGTCTCTTTCTTCCTTCATAAGCATGCTCGAGAAAAAGGTTAGGTAAGCATGCAGACAGGAGGAGTTGCCTTTAACTTATGAAACAGGCCTTCACCAGATACCAATGATGGCACTTTGGTCTGAAACTTCTAGCACTGTGAGAAATAAATGTTTGTTGTGGAAGATACTTACTGCCTAGTATTTTGTTACAGTAGCCTAAGTAGGCTAAGACAAAGTCCAATTTATCAATCTTTCCTTTTATGGATTGTGCTTTTGGTATTAGGCCTAAGAACTCTTGGCTCAGAGCTCTACATTCCAAAGATTTTCTTCTCTATTTTTCTAAATCTTTGTAATTTTGTATTTTACACATTGTTATGGTTTTGACATGAGGTGTTCCCCTAAAGCTCATGTGTGAGACAATGCAAGAATGTTCACAGGTGAAGTTATCAGATTATGAGATGTGTAACTTAACCAGTAGATTAATCCATTGATATGGATTAACTGGGTGGTAACTGTAGGTAGGTAGGGTGTGGCTGGAGAAGGCAGGTCACTGAGGACATAGGTTGCAGTCTATATTTTGTCTCTGGTGAGCAGAGGTCTCTCTGCTTCCTTGTTGTCATGTCTGGAGCTATTTTCCTGCACCACACCCTTCTGCCATGATGTTCTGCCGCATCTTGGGCCTAGAGCTAGGACTAGTCAGCCAAGGACGGACTGAACCTCTCCTCCACAACTTCTACTCTATTGGCCTCCCTTCTCTTATTGAGACACCTTGTTTATATTCGTTCTCTAGCTTCCATATAAGATAGAAAACATCCAACCCTTAACTTTCTGAGTCTGGCTTATCTGGCATGATGCTCTCCAGTTCCATCCATTTACCAGCAAATGATAATTTCTTTCTTCTTTTAAAAATATGAAACGCCGTATTTACTTCTATTATATTCTAGAGATTGGCTATATTTATCTTTATATAATATTTTACTTTGTGATTTTCTTATATAATTATTATCACTTTTACAATTTTAAATGTAATATATCTTTCATCCCCTTTTTTAGTCTACTTGTGACCATAGATCTAAAGAGAATCTTCCATTTTTTTAGATCTGATATAGTTAACCTATTATTATGTTTAATCTTCTTGGTCATGTTTGTGTTCTGATTAGTGTTACATAATAGTTTATTTATACTTAAATTACTGATGAGGAAGAACTTACTACTGTCGCTTTACAAGTTTTGTCTTATAGTTCTGTCTACTATTAACTAAACTTCCTTAATTTGTGTTTCATAAATTTATATGGTGAAATTTTTATTCCTGCCTATTACCTTTTTTTTATCTTCTATGTCTATTTTGTCATTACTTTGGGATTATATGAAGTTACTTAAAGGTACTTAAAAACACTATAAAGAAATAGTATAAACTACTTAGTTTCCACTATTTTTTAAACTGAACTAACTTTGGTTTTCTAAAACAATCAGTGTCTTTATATAACTTGTCATGATTTTATATTGATGTCAAACTGCTTTTATACCTTATACCCATTCACAGATATTTATGGTAATTTTATGCTTTATTTTTTCAAATT